TTAAAAAGTTAATTAACAGGTTATTTAAGCTTCCAAAAATCAAAGCACAGGTAGAAAGCTCTAGTGTAAATATGAGCAACAAGGAAAAGTCACATGTGGTAATCCCAACTCTAGTTTCTGAGCTACTAGCTTCATGTTTTAAAAATGATTTTACAATTGGATTAATTTCGCTGGCCTTTTTTTCAGATAATGGTTTGCATTTCTGTGATGTGAGACGAATCCATGCCTCATTTATTAGGGAAGCTGGTAATTTTGCTAGTAAGTCAGAATATGCCTGATTAAATACCATTATATATTTATACATTGCACAAAAAAATATGGAATTTCATGGAATTTTAAAAAATAGACCACCAGGGTCAGTTTTATCATAATACAAATAATACATTTATGGCTTTTTTATAAATAAGAAGAGACGTACTAAAGTTTATTTTTTAGTAAGAAGCGCATATACTTATGTTCTGTAATAATGCAGGTATCATGCACAGCGCTTGTGTGATTATCATTACATTACATAGGACTAATATAGAATAAGCAGATCATAATCTTTATTCTGCATAAACCTGCAGGTGGTATATTTCACTAGATAGATCAAAAATTTATGTCGTACATGCATTAGCTATGAGGCATGGATAATATATTATTTTATTAAGACAAAGGAAAAAAATAACTTCAATTAGATTCATTTTACAAGCTGGTGAGCCTGACTGGCAGGAAAATTGTATCTGGCTGATCTTTTCCTAATATTGATTAGTACCGCCTATAAAAATATACTGAATACATTTATGTCAATTTTTTGAGAACATTCTAACCATACTTTATCTTTATATCACCAGTCTTTAGACATCATGGTATGGATCTCTATATCATATGATCCCAACATATCCCTTCTGACAAATAGGACAGATATGCATTATATCACAATATCGATCACTTGCTGATCATGATATATGTGATATCACGTTAAATTTGAAGCTTTATTCTAAGCAATAAATGTTATGTTAAATTATTTCATTTAATAGTTTAATTTATCAATAATTTAATATAAAAGTATTGTGGCAAAATAAGATGTGTTTCCAAAGTTAGATTTTACGTCAAATTTTCAATAATTAATATATATGCTATATATATGCTGATCATCTGCTAATCTGATTTTGAAGCTTCAGGCGAAGATACAGATCTTCAGGCGAAACTTAAAACTTTTACAGTACTATATTATTTAGGTATTCAAGAATCAATGGCTAAAATAAACATGGATAATTTTTGATAACTCAAAAGTTATCATTAAATAAATGTTTACAATTATTTTAAAATTGATATATATCTGATATTTGGCAAAATCTTTATGAATTATTTTAAGAACTAATTTATTAACAATAAATAAAATAAAGTAAATAAAATTGAAATTTTATACATTATTATGTAGAATTTTGAAAAAATTAATTCAATGGTATTTTTTTATGTGATAATATTGGCCAAGTGATCAGCAAAATGATCAGCAATATCGTGATAATATAGGAATGTCTGCCCTGTTACAAATCATCTACTAATGAGATTTTCTTTAGTATTTTAATAATATTTGGGATTCTGTGCCCATTTAATATGGTAGACCAATCTATCCAATTTTTACTAGAAAAAAGAACATAACCTTTTTGTTCTAATAATATTCTAGCATATTCAAAAGTTATCTATTGTAATCGGTATGCTAATTGATTTCGTTTCTCTTCTGTCCAAGTTCTAGCAGAATAAAGGGTATGATTATATAACATGTTAAAATAATCAGATTTCTGGTTAAATTTTATTAGTTCTCCATTAATATAATAATAATACTCATCACAAGGAATAATACCTAAATACTTCTATCTGCCAAACAGGACGGACATCCCCATATTATCACGAAATTGCTGATCATTTTACCAATCACTTGTCCAATATTATCACATAAAAAAATACTATTGAATTAGTTTTTTCACAAATTCTACATAATAATGTAAAAAATTTCGATTTTATTTACTTTATTTTATTTATTGTTAATAAATTAATTCTTAAAATAATTCATAAAGAATTTGTCAAATATCAGACATATATTAATTTTACAATAATTGTAAACATTTATTTAATGATAACTTTTGGGTTATCAAAAATTATCCAGGTTTATTTTAGCCATTGATTCTTGAATACCTAAATAATATACTGTAAAAGTTTCAAGTTTCGCCCGAAGATCTGTGGCTTCGCCCGAAGCTTCAAAGNNGCATATATATAGCATATATATTAATTATTGAAAATTTGACGTAAAATCTAACTTTAGAAACACACCTTATTTTGCCACAATACTTTTATATTAATTTATTGATAAATGAAACTATTAAATAAAATAATTTAACATAAATTGTCAGAACATTTATTGCTTAGAATAAAGCTTCAAATTTAACGTGATATCACTTATATCATGATCGGCAAGTGATCGACATTGTGATATAATGCATGTCCGCCCTGTTTATCAAGAGTTCCATCATTCTTCACCATCTCCCAAACCTGTTTTACTAAAGATTCAGGTCTCTTGTAATTCCTGTAAGCTCGCTGGATAACTGTTATATAGAAATTCTCAAACTGATAGTTATATTGTTTAGTAATCAAGAATCCACAAGATCGCTTCATTGATTTTCCTAAACTCCAAAATACGTTATTAAAATAGATTAAAAGATCTAACCCAGAATAGGCCGGTAAATCATGTATAACGTCTGCAGGTAATACATTTTACAGGCGATCATCCAGATTATATAGTGCAAAAAATAAATTATATTTTAGTTAGTAATTAAAATATTTTTTGGAATCAATCAGTTAAACTGGTTAAACAATTGTGACTTTTGTTCCATCTCTTAATTTTAACACAGTGCCTTTTGTGAATGGTAATAAGTTATTTTGTTTTGCATACTGAGACGAGATAAATATTTCGCTTGTATTGCTTTTGCAATTTGATGATTGATAAGAAGTTGGTGAAATCATTTTTTGCCTGATAGATGAAATACAAGCTGGCTCAAAATTTGGAGCACTAGGCATAGTATTTTCTGCTATAGTTACTTTAGCCTGTGCATAAGCTTCATAGAGAATTGTACAAGTATCATAATCATATGATATCGATGCCAATTTATCCTTTTCTGAATGTGAGGTAGATTGGAAGAAAAGTTTTAGGTGAAGACGTTCCAGTTTTGCCTCTTCTTATAATATAGATTGTTTATATTACCAGATACTAAATTCTTTACTATCAATAGATTGGAGAATTTTATTTATTCTTGCATATTCATTTGAAATAGTATTTCCAGAAATACATCTCTTCAAGTAGTTATATCAATAGCGATCCTCAAAACGACCATTTGCAGATATGAAAACTAAAGAGTCACATATACTGCAATATATATAATTGGTTGGACGATTATGAATCCTATTATCTACATATAGCTTTTCATACATTGTAATATATCCATTCTTAGAAAGAATTCTTAGGTTCTCTTCTAGTATTTCCCTAAATGAATCATAAATATGAGAGCACCATATTTCTGGTGTTTTATGATCATGTCTTTCTACTAAAGGCAATAATGCACCAACTATTCTTGTATATTCTTCAGAGTCTACATAGGACCCAGAAATATATATACAGGGGTAGGGTACACAGATGCGTCACCATCATAGTGGAATTAGACGGAGTAAAGTTTTGATTTGCGTACAATTTTAGAATTTTTCATCTATAGTTAGGTCATCAAGATTGCGTATTTTTTATCAAATTTTTTATATGTAAAAAATTAGTTTGCGTATTTTTGACCTAAATTTGGCTAATCTTATATATATAATATATTTACTGTACGTACTGTACGTACTTATTTAATTAACCGAATTGTAAGAAATTTCTAAGGGTTAAAAAGTGAAATTTTAGAAAAATATTATTAAAAAAATGGTAAATTCTATTTTTTCACATTAGTATTTATAATATAGAAGCCATGATAAAATAATTAATAACTTAATGTCTGAAATTTTATTTGCGTATTTTTGCAGGATTTTCAATATCAGGTGTCAATTATGTGTATTACTCATATAAAAAGTCTTTGTGTACACTGTACAGCTCATAGTAAAAAAATTTTTCGCCACCTGACCCCTATATATATATTTCTGGGTCCTGTCTACATCTTTATAGTGTAGTTCAATTAGCTTAGAATAGGCTCTACTATCTAATTCCATATTAGTGTTTTGGTAGATTATAATAGAATATAATGATTTTTTATTGATTTATACTGTTTTTAGCGATTTTAACTGATTTAGCAATACTATACTCTAATAAATATCAGATTCAAATTTATACAGATTTGCTGGTTAAGCAGTTTTAATAATTTATGGCAGTTTTATTAATTTGTAGCAGATTTAGTGAGACTACATACTAGTAAATACAAATTCATTTTATTCAATTATAAGCATATTGGAGATTTATATAGGGTTATATCTTAAGCTATGCTAATTTTATATTTACATGTATATGTACAGCGAGTTTCTATAAATTACGAGATGATCAGCTAACAGATTTCAGATTTTTTTTTAGCCAGATAAGCATAACGGGAATTCATTATAAATAAAATGCACATGTAAAAAAAATATTATTTTTCTAATGGTCATTATGCAAAACCAGAATTAGCATCTGGTTAAATTTATCTTCTGAAACTTATATTTTTTCTGATGGATAGCGTCAGGTTAAATTTATCTCCAAAAGTGCTGTGCATACTATGACTAGATTATTTTTCTGATGGTAGAGTTTGGACAAGCTTGTTTGAGCTCATCAGCAGAAGAATGAATGAATCATGTGATGTAATACAGTATATCAAGTGATAATTTATAGTAAATAAAAATATAAGTCCGAATTGTGGGCAGAACTTTATTAAATCATTTTAGCTAGTATTTAAAAGAAAAATATTCTCTTAAAAATGATAGCCAAGGCTGGACAAGCTAGTTTGAATTCGTCAAATCTTATGCGTTAAAATTTCAGCCATTACATATTTGATTTCATTTGCAGTTAGATTTAAGATGAATGATGGGGGAATAGATCTAATCCTAGCTATTTTTTCTTTACCTATGGTATTAAAAAGTTTATAAACCTTTTCGGATTTCTCTATCTTTTTTTGCAAAGCTTCATTAGAGCATTTTGTCTCTGGAATCACCACCTTAACCTCCTTTTTAACTATCGCTTCAGATTTATCCTTGCTAAACTCAGGTTTTAATTCCTTGTATCGTTTAAATACAGCTTTCCTAAAATTAAAATAACTGAAAATGAGACCTCGAGATGCTTCTTCATTTTTAGTTTCAGCATGATCAATCCTTTCAGAGAATTGTAAAAAACTACTTGCGCTTTTATTTATTTCTTCCAAGCTTCTACTGGGATTATCAGTTAATAATTCTTCGATAAGTTGTTTTAGCATGCTTGATGTCTTCTTTTTCCCACCAGTTTTTTTCGCTTTCTTACTAGACGATTTTTCGGTAGATGCGGATGATTCCTAGTATGTTTTTTCTGCACAGTACTTGGCTCTACTGGAGTTTCTATATCATCAATTTCCATATCAGTTGATAGGCATATAGGACACAGCTTTTGTGGATTATCGATACAGTTGTAATGGACGATATGTTTGCAGGTTAAGTATATGCGAGGTTTTGGTGAAGGATGAGTAAAGGTTTAAAAAAAGCCTAGAGAAGGAAGATACAAAGAAAGGTCTTCAGAACATTTAACATATCTTAATTAACTTCCCATCTGTTGAGTTCCTATATTCTCAACCCCTTCCATATGCATGGGTAGAGAAGTTAGGATAAACCTTTCACTCATCATGTTAGTTAAGGCCAAAGTTTCGCTTGATTGGAATAATGGTGAATCTTGAATAATAACATTCAATTCTGGCAATCAGCCAATCGGATAATTCACAATGGTAGAAAATATTTCTGTGATTTCTACATTCTTTTCACAATCAGAAATGGACATGAGTTTGGTACATTAAGCATAAGCTTTTTTTCAGCATAGAGTCTATGAAAAATGTGCTTACAGCGTAGTCGGATGAACTCTTTGAGAGGAAATGTCAAAATGTCATTATTACATTCGGAGCATAGTTCTAATTCTGAGAAATCTATACCACTGACAGTTTTATCATTGAGACTTTTGAGAATATTATATCTGAGGTTTTTATATCTAATGAGAGAGGGTCTCTCGGATTCCGAAATACTGCTCTCTTCTCTACTTTGTGTGTTGCTGATTAGGCCAATATTGATTTCATCAACAGTGGTCGCTGAGATCTCCCTATTCCCTCTGTCATCAATTTACAGAGTTGCCACATCAAATAGGCATTCTTATGGTCGAACGAACGAATAAATGAATGAACGAACAATTAAATAAATAAACAAGTTAATAATCAACAACATAAAGCAACATTCTTGGTTTACAACATAAATAGCGTTAGTAATATAAAACATCAAGCAACATAAAATTAGTTTTAACTTCTCTAAATTTTCCTCAATTTTTATCCACTTTACCTTTAATTTCAAACTTTGATAGCTTTCGCTACGAAATATTTTATTTATTTCAACTTCAAAATTTCGATAATTCTCTTTACAAAAGTGTATATTTTATTCATCTCATAATTATCATTTTATTCAATTAAAATTAATTAAGTTAACATTAATTAAAGTTTAAGGCGAACCTATTACCTTTAATTAATATTATACTTTATTAATAAATAATTAAATTTAACTATTCTAAATTACATTGTAGATGAGATTCTCGATAATTTCTATGATTTCTTGGATGATATGGAATTACTTTAAATTCCGCTCTCTATTTATACAAACTTTCTATTCTAATATATACTATCTGTTATGTTCTTTTTATATGTTATCTTTCTAATATGCTATCTTTTAATATACTATCTTTTAATATGCTATCTTTTAATATGCTATCTTTTAATATGCTATCTTTTAATATGCTATCTTTTAATATGCTATATGTCATCTTTTATGTTCCATCCTTTTAATATACTATCTTTCAATATGTTTCTATTTTTAATATGTTATGTTTCATCTTTTGTGGCTTATATCTTTTCGTATTATCTTTTATATTATCTTTTATATTATATTATCTTTTATATATATTATCTTTTATATTATCTTTTATATTATCTTTTATATTATCTTTTTATATTATCTTTTATATATATTATCTTTTCATATTATCTTTTTATATTATCTTTTATATTATTGTTTTTATGTATTTTCATTATGCGTGTTCCTTTAGTCCGTTATCCCTTCATTTTATATGATTTATCTTTTGTGGCTTATAATTATTCCTTCTAATTGTTCTTATTGTTGAACTTAATAATAATAAACTAGTTACTAAGCTGCAATTGATCGATTCCCTACTTAATCTATTGGTTTCTTGTTAATCATTCAATAAATATTACATCATGTAGATCATTCCTCTTCCTAAATATTTATCCTTTTCGGCTAATCATTTATCCATTCATGCTGATTCAAGATTAGTTCGTTCGTACTTAGTACTTGATCCCTATAAAAAGTATTTATATTTAAAATATAATTAAAAACTTTTTAAAATATATTTAAAATATACTTAAAATATATTTAATTTAAAAATTGCGAAATACTTATAATATACTTAAAATGTATTTAAAATTATCTTAAAATATATTTCTAATATATTTAATTTTTGCCCAAATACTTAAAATATACTAAATATACTTAAATTATATTTAAATTAAAATTTAAATATATTATAGATATATTTTTTACATACTTAAAATATATTTATAATATATTTCATAATATATTTTAAGTATATTTTAAGTATGTAAAAAATATACTTATAATAATTTTATAATATACTTAAATTTTAATTTAAATATAATTTAAATATATTTTAAGTATATGGGCAAAAATTAAATATATTAAACATATATTTTAAGATAATTTTAAGTATATTTTAGATATATTAAAAATATATTATAAGTATTTTGCAATTTTTAAATTAAGTATATTTTAAATATATTTTAAGTATATTTTAAGTATAATACTTTTTATAGGATGTTCACATTTGTCCATTTGGTATATTATTTATTCACGCTTAATATTTGACAGTTTACATCGCTTCTGTATTAACTGAGCTCTCTTGATTCTCCATACCTGTCCACTTATCACTCTCATGATCAGCTATTTTGCTGACTAAAGCTAAAGATGGGTTTTTATATCACTTGTAAATTTCGCAGGAGAAAACATTCCCCAGATTTTTACTAGCAATTATGCACTACATTTTGTCATTACACTATCTCCCGGCAAATCTATAAAAATGACTTCATGATTAGTGCATCTGGCTGATGATCTCTTAGTGATCCTATATGCGAAATAATGATTACTGGAAAAAATATCCATATCCGATTATTGTTTTGTCAGTATAATGGTTATAGGTGCTGTCAGAATTCACTGGTCGAAATCAAAACTTTCGGTCATGTGACAAATCGGCTGATCTGTCACACATTTCGGCCAAATTTCGTAAATTATTAAAAATTGGCCAAATTTTGACATATATGATTTATGGTCAATTTATTAATTTTGTTAATCAAACGTTACGCATTACACGTTATGCGTATTAAAAGTTTAAAAAAGGATCATCTTATACATCCTTTTTTAAACTTTTAATAATTTTTTTCTTCCCCTCCCTTTCCTTTTCTTCGTTCCCCTTCCCTGTTTCCCTTCTTCCCCTTTTCCTTCCTTCCCTTTTCCTTCCTTCCCCTTCCCCCTTTCACTTTTTTTACTTTTTTTTTATAGGTTCGGCTTTCGGGTGGGCTTCCAAAGTACAGAAACTCCAAAGATTCGTAAGTACGAATTCTTTGGAGTTTATTTTATTTTTTTTTAATATGAACAGTTACTAACCGTTCTTTTTTTACTTTTTTTTTTAGGTTCGGCCATTCGGGTGGGCTTCTGAAGTATGGAAAAACCAAGTTTCGTAAGTACGAAACTTGGTTTATTTTTTTTTTATTTTTTTAATTTAATTTAATATGAA